TAAGTTTTTGAATAACAACAATATAACTAGAATCATAACTGTACGACATAAATTTTTTAACTATAAAAAACGTAAATAAAATATAAATTTTTCAAATTTTTGTGAATTTTGTAAAAATTTGAAATTGTGATGTTTTAATTTTTAAAACGAATTGTAACTTTTTATGAAAACACAAATGTAACATTTATTGAATCAATAATTCGCTTAATATTTCCTTAAACATGATTGCGTAACCCACAATTGGAGCACTTAATTTTAGTGAACCATTAAAACAATTAATCGTCCATGGAACCCGGCATTATAATATTATAAAATGTTGCCAATTTTTTTATGAATTGGAAGATTTGTCGTAAACGCGCGTTTATCTACATGGCCGCCCTAAATTACCCAGTATCGTTTATAATTTAATACCCCTATTATTTATACATATGASGCTACAATAAATTGCTAAGTCTTACAATATTCTAGCAGACAGCAGTGTAACATTTGTCCATTCAATTATTTTCGTTATTATATTGATATACACGGTGAGTTATGTATAAACGTGCATTTGCTTGTATCCATCAATGAAAACAGGTTTTTATTTTTACGATGGTAAAATATTGTGGCATAAAAAACGAGTCGAGCACCCGTTTTTGTAATATTATATTATCATTGTTATACAGCGCGAACTTCTGACACGGCGCCGCGTGTGATGACGAAAACTAATGTTTCATGTATAATGATAGACTCTAGTGACTCTACCCACCTGTTAAAATTGTTGAATGCCATACTTAATAATTATCCGAAGTGTAATTTGTTTGTATATATGTATATGTCATATTATATTAAATCGGGTCAATAATCAGTTGTGTGTTGTTAACAGGTACCTATACTAACTATAGTTATCGAGTTTACTACTGTACAATGYTATGCTATAATATTTATACTACTTTTCATTATTTAAATTGCTGAACATCTCACTTATATATTGTGTAAAATTTTCGAATTTTTATCAACTCATTTGATTAAATTAATCTCATTATTTAGTTATATCTACATTCTATTGTTCGAAATCATTGTATTCGAATTGTTATTTTCATTGCGTAATCAACTCGCATCCATTCTGCACAAAGAATATGGCTTGAACCATCGATATTATTGCTTAAATATCGTTCTCAATGATTTGACTAACTAATTGAGAGAATGAATAAGTATTCATTTTTTTTTTTGTAATGGATCTTGATTACACTAAAAACTCAACTTTAGATTTACTGAAATATAATGGAAATCTTTATAGTAGATAACTTTTGGTCATAACATACAATATACAAAAGACGACTGAATCGACTGATGTATACATAATCACAACTTATAATCTTTCACTAACGAGCATTTTATACTCACTGTATTACAGTATACACAAATAACTAAGAAATGACAACTGACAAGTATATATTTTAATGCCTCGTTTTTCTATATTCATCTGAATAATTTTGGGATTTGTTTAATCATTTTTAGACTCGTAAAATATAATTCGCATTCAAATATATGTATAATGTCTGGTATATGCTGATAAGTAATATATTGGGTGATTCACCAAATATCCTTCTCCATTTTCCCCTTTAATAATGAATTTATTCAAATTTTGATTTTTGGAATTATTAAATTATGTACTCAAATACGATTAATTCGATATATTGAATTTTTTTACATAACCTACTTAAAGGGAGTATCCCGCGGTAATATAAACTTCTGTTTTTCAAATG